GATTTTACATTTTACAAAATTTAAGGAAATGACACTTCTTAAAAGAACAAAACAAGGTTTACTAACTGTTTATTCGCAAATGAAAAATATGCAATCTTTAAAATCACTGGTGAAAAAAACCCCAGGAAGTACATCCGGTTCCTTGAGCTGCCAATCAAAATCTTACTAGCCAATGAGTGCAAATCACTGTTATACCCACCCCCATGGGACATGAATCTTTTTATGCTCTCAGTTTCTTTCTTTTCCTTTGCAATCCTAATCAAAACAGAAGCTGAAAATGAAACCAACAAAGAATGCCGTTGATTTCAATGGTAAATACCATTTTTATGGTATTTATTGATTGTTTTTTTTTCTTTGTCATCAATTTATTTTTGTTTGTTTTAGCTGAAATTGTGTTGGTTTTAATTCCACAAAATGAATTCCATAAGAAAGTGTTCTCTGGTGACTTGAATGACCACATGTGATATTTTAAGAAAACTGGTTTCAAACATTTCCAGTAATATGAAGAATGCAATGGCTCACTGAGTTTTAGAGTGTGTTTCATTTTCAGCAAAAAGAACAGAACCATTAAAAAAGGTTGGATATTAAAAAGGACATTTCAGAGACCATTCAAATTGACTTGGCATCCAAACTCAAAAGTACAAGTGTCTGCGGCCACATCAAATATAAATGTGCTGAACAGAGCAAACCACGAATAATGCCTTAATTAAAACCCCAACCAGAATCCAGTGCAGGAAAGGGGGCCTGTGAGCCATTGGATGCCAGAGGCATGTGAGAGAGGTTTCACGGTGCATATTAAGATATAAAATGACTGTGAGAACCAGCGGTTTGGCCCCTTCTCTTATCCCCATGTAATGAATGAAGAGCGTATCATGCTAAATCAGATTCATCCAGAGAGCTGCAATGAAACAGCTCTTCATTTTCCTTCACTGACATATTCTGCACTGCCACAGGATTGCTGGATGGCGAGATGGAGCGAGCACTTGCTTCCCAGCATTCACATCCACACACATTTCTTTTCAGTCCATCTTGTGTTACATAGCGATACTGTTGACTTTCCTGCTTTACCTTCGGCTCTCAGGCTTACATCAATGAAGAGCAGAGTTATGTGGAGTTCACTGGCTGGAAGCCATAATACGTCCATGCCAGAGCAAACACCGTGAGGCTCCGATTCTTAAATACTGTACTTATAGTAAATAGTCTGAACATGTAAAATCTTTTGGCACTATGGCCAAGAAAATCAGGTCTGCGGAGCTCCGCATACGGAGACTTTCTTTACACATTTAACAATTATCGTGATGCCATCTTCACCAATAAAAATCGTTTATATGTCTGGCTTTGCACACAAACCTCCGTTCAATGGTTAGAATTCTCAACTACTGACAAATAAATAAATAAAGCAAAATGAATATATTTAAAAGCTGTGAATCAGAAGGTGACATCCGAGAGAGCAGTTCATTAAAAGTGAAAGTCGTCGTGCTGTTAACTTACAGCAGAGCTGTGAGCTAATTAGCCCACTAACTTTACCTCCCAAGCTCATCACAATCAGAAAGCCTTTGTGCCTTCAGTGACAAAATCCACAGAATTTCTTTCCCCAAACTAACGAGCACAACTGGAAATAAAATAACAAGCTTTCACAGGATGTAGCATGCAATGGCATCCTTTATTAAATGTGACTTTGCCCAAGACTGGATCAAAGGCAAGGTCTCCAACGTTTAAAATATGATTATTGTTAATGTAAATAACATATATAAATATGATTATAATCCATTTGAAAGCTGTATAATTCTGCTTAGATTTTACAATAGGTGGGGATTTTTGTATTGGCTGATTCCTATTTTGGTGATTATGACCCGATAATTCACATTTTTGGTTGGTGGGACACGCTAAAACCATTGTATGATGCTTGAGACCTGCAGATTTGATTTTTGGTTGGTGCTTAATTCATGGAACTGGCCAATGCCAAGATTTGTTAGGTGTGAGCTGCCATTTCTGATGGTTACTGACCAAGTTCACTTTTTGGGGGGCCTTTTAAGCCTTAATTTTTTTAACAGATAGTAGCTAGACAGGAGAAGAGTTGGATAGAGGGAAGGACATAATTCGAACTCGCGTCGCCCTATGCAACCACGTGTATATTTCCAGTGCGCCTTCTGCTATAACACGGGGCCGGACACTAAGTTCACTTTTGATTGGTGTGACTATATCTGACTTAAATTTTTGGTATAACTGACCTGGCAACTCCACTTTCAGTAGACGTGACATGTTTATTCCAATTTTTGGTAGAAATTTTGCGTCCGCGAGCAAATATCAATCAATGAACTGCTCCTTTGTGTAAATATCCAATCAGAAGAGGGCGGGACTGTGTTTTTCACTGACTCAGTGGAGAAACTGTCGCACTGTGAGGAGACGGCTCCCATTTTTTTGACAAATACGACAAAGATGGAAAAAGAACAGTAAACAAAAATGTCTCTGTGTGCCAGCAATTTTTATCAGAAGTTATTTCGCAAAAGGCAGCATATGAAACACGAGCTCTTATCTGCACAGTCCTCCAAACGCTGTTCCTGGTTTCAGGACCCCTAGGTGTCTGTAACTTTTGCCTGACTTAAATCCCTCTCTTGCTGTGCTAATCCACTCACTGCTGAAGAAGCTCATGCCCACCTTGCTACAATTGTTTATATTATTATTTTAAGTTAATTTTTTTTGTAGATGTGTCTTGATGTTTGATTTAGCAAAAAAAAAGTGAATTCTATGAAACGCCCATTATTTATCTGCTCATGTGATCCATACAAAGAATGATTAAAAAAATTACAAGTTGCTAAGCCATCAGAACAGAACTGAACCGAAAACCATGGTTAAAACTGGTACATACTAAACAGTGAGGTTTTTTAACTGAAGCCACCTCTAAAAAAACGTACCATTATAGCAGATAACAGACATATATAAAAAAGTGAAGAAAAGAAACTTTTCTTCCACTTGTTTTATCTAAGGACAGCTGCGCTTTTACTGAACTGTTTGGTTGGTGTATTTCATGAACCACCTGGAACAAGTTACACTTCACACCTTGGTAATTCCCTTGCTCTGCCTTCCATTACAGAGAGGAAAGAAACCAATTACACCCTCAATCAGATCTCCAGCTCTCTTCTTAAGGTTTCCATGTCTGAGAGCACAACAGGAGGAGGTGAACATCCTGACCACATACTGAACAATCACATGGTCCATCTGGGACTGTTCAGTCCCTGCTGATCAGAGACTAGATGTTCTCTTCACACAGAGATGATCAGGACAGCAAGTCTTTCATTATGGGGTACATCTGCAGGAATCCCATGAGCCCATGGGAACTGGACAAACAGATAATGGACCAAGAAATAATAACTAGAATATGCATAGACGCATCAATTAACATAAATAATGATGTTAGAAGACAAAGTACTTGGTCATTTTCAATGTTTCAAAGCAAATCAATGGCATTGTTTGTACAAATGATCATAAGAATATGGTTTATAAGATAGTAACTGTGTTTTTGCTCATTTGTCCATTTGAAGTGGCTACATTACTTTTATAGAAATCTTGAGTATACAGAGATATTAAGATATAATATCTAAAAAGACCACTTCAAATGGACAAATTAACAAAAACACAGTTACTATCTTAAAAATCATATTCTGTTAATTCATCAGACTGCCTTTTGAGTAGATTTTAAAAACAACATTTTGATTTCACTATTAACTAGATTGATGTTTGTTTTGGTGGTTTAGAACAAATCATTGTTTATATGTTTTAGGTTTTTTAGGTTTAGGTTACATTTGTTACAAATGTGTGCCTCCCAATAAACCCTCCTGACTCCAAATCTTCCTCCCTTGATTTAAAGTGGGATTCTTCAGGCTGTTTTATAGTCTGCTCTGTCTGCTGTTAATGAAGACAAATAAAGACTCTGTCTGTCTTTGCCCAAATCCTAACCATAACATTGCTTTTATCCTGACACAGAAAACAAACTTTTAAGGCTTAAGTGTCCTGACTGTGTCTTGTAAAGAGGTCTAATGAAAATAGTTTTCCCTTAACTTAATCTTTGTCCCAAAGCTTATGAAGTAAAGTGATAGAAATATCTATGGTGTTTTTTTTTTAAATGTAATCTCATCGATATAGTACAAATGTGTTTTCTTTAGAACAAAAGTGGTTTGAAAAAAATATAAATTTTCTGTTCCAAACTTTCATAAAGCATCCAAAAGTCATACAAACTTAAAAATTTCAAATCCAAATTTTAATATTCAAAGGATTATAGCTTTTATATAGAATTTACTAAATTGCGATAAATCCATGGCACATGTTCTCAATATAATATTTTTGTTTTAAAGAAACCATTCCAAATATAATAACAAACAGCATCGATATTGAATCAAGCAGCTGGTTACACAGTGGCAGAAACCACTCGCGGATATTGGATTCACTCCTTTCGCCTCCCAGTGACTTTAGAACGACTCCGCTAGACTTTATTGACTGTAATTAGTGGGAAAATGGCCTGATTGTGTTGCGACTTTGTGGAATGATTATAAAAAGATTCAAAACTTTTGCATTTTTTCCACCTCAATTGCACCTCCTCTTTTTTGTACTTGGTTTAATGGAATTAAACTTTTTTTAAATTAAATTGTGACAAAAAAAGTATTGTGAAAAATTGCGTCAGCAAACAAAAAATATCATTGTGGTTTAATATGAGGAGGAGTACTTAAAGGGTTGGCAGGAGTGAAATTTTCTGGGTCTCCTAAGAAAATCAGGGAAAAATAACGTTAAAGTTATTAAAGCTGTTAGAATTAAAATGAACCCTAAAATGTCTTTCTCTAAAAAGTAAGGGTAAAATGAAACTTTATCTATGTTAGAATTTTTTTGTAAAAAAAAAAAAAAATAATAATTTCTTTGGAAAATGTATTATAGGCTTTTCAAATATGAAAACAATACACTTCAGATTTGCCACTAACACTCCAAATAACATATTTCTTCAGTTATAGCTTTTCCTGGGGTTTAAACCCATGACCTTTGCATTCCTAGTAGAATGCTCTTCTGACTAAGCCACAGAAAAGACAATGTTTTCAATGTTTCCCTAACCAAGCCAAACTGGAATTCTTTTCTGACCAGTGCGCATATCAATGATCACCGATTGGACCTCGGCATCACTGAACAGTGCATGAGGGACACACAAGACAGCGCGTTCATCATGACCAGTTCCAGTGTTGTTTATCATGAGAGGTTTTGAAAAACAACACAAAACAAAACTGCCTAATCTTTCTTGGGCAAATGGGATGGTACACTTTTTGCACTGAAGAACAGATCCGATGTGCATCATAATGTTTATGACCTACTCTGGAACAATAAAATATAATGGAAATGGATTGGTACTGAAGTGACCCGTTGCATGTAAATTTAATGCAATCTTCTGATTGTATCTTTCACGAGATCAACATTAAATGTTTTCTGGTTTATAACGAGTCTAATGACTATAAGTAAGTGGATAACAGCTAGCCACAATGTCATTAAAGACATTTGCATTTCCACCACAGCTTGTCTTGAAGCACACTGTTAATGAAGCCTTCAATGTCAAATAGAATTCCTTCCTTGTTTCACTTCTGGATTTCTATCTGCTCCTGCAGCTGCAGTGAAGGGAAGCAGTGCCAGACTCTGTTCAACCGTGTCCAAATCTCACACACATCCAACTGAAACCCTACAAAACTCAATGGAAAAACTCCTTGGAGAGGCTTTATGTTACATTTTACAACATCTGATTCTAGGGCAGCACAGTGACATTTTCATACCATTTTTTGGCCATTACTGACACTCCTGGTTTAGACAATGGGAAGAAATAATTTGTTTGTATAATTAGAAATATATTATTTAGTACACCAGGGGTACTCAAATATAAAAAGAAAGTACATTTACCAAATTTCTGTTCAGTCCGAGGTCCGGAAAAGTAACGGTCTACAGTGCATCCGGAAACTATTCATAGTGCCTTACTTTTACCACATTTTTTATTTGTTACAGCCTTGTTCCATAATGGATTAAATTCATTTATTTCCTCAAAATTCTACACAATACCCCATAATGACAATGTGGAAAAGTTTTTTTTAAATTGTTTCAAATTTAAACCTGAAAAATCACATATACATAAGTATTCACAGCCTTTGCCGTGAAGCTCTAAATTGAGTTCAGGTACATTCTGTTTCCACTGATCATTCTTGAGATGTTTCAGCAGCTTATTGGAGTTCACCGGTGGTAAATTCAGTTGATTGGACATTATTTGAAAAGGCAGACACCTGTCTATATAAGGTCGCAGGTTTGACAGCTAATGTCAAAGCACAAACCAAGCATGAAGACAAAGGAATTGTCTGTAGACCTCCGAGACACGATTGTCTCGAGGCACAGGGAAGGTTGCAGAAAAATTTCTTCTGCTCTGAAAGTTCCAATGAGCACAGTGGCCTCCATTATCCGTAAGTGGAAGATGTTTGGAACCACCAGGACTCTTCCTAGAGCTGGCCGGCCATCTAAGCTGAGTGATCGGGGGAGAAGGGCCTTAGGGGGGTGACCAATAACCCGAGGGTCACTCTGTCTGAGCTCCAGCGTTCTTCTGTGGAGAGAGGAGAACCTTAAAGAAGGACAACCATCTGTGCAGCAATCCACCAATCAGGCCTGTATGGTAGAGCGGCCAGACGGAAGCCACTCCTTAGTAAAGGGCACATAGCAGCCCGCCTGGAATTTGCCAAAAGCCATCTGAAGGACTCTCAGACCATAAGAAACAAAATTCTCTGGTCTGATGAGATTAAAATTGAACTTTTTGGAGCGAATGCCAGACGTTACATTTGGAGAAAACCAGGCACCGCTCATCACCAGGATAATACCATCCCTTCAGTGCTCTTGACCTCAGACTGGGGCGACGGTTCATCTTCCAGCAGGACAATGACCCAAAGCACACTGCCAAAATATCAATGGAGTGGCTTCACAACAGCTCTGTGAATGTCCTTGAGTGGCCCAGCCAGAGCCCAGACCTAAATCCCATTAAAGATCTGAAAATGGTCATACATCGTCGCTTCCCATCCAACCTGATAGAGCTTGAGAGGTACTGCAGAGGAATGGGTAAAAATTCCCAAAGACAGGTGCCAAGCTTGTGGCATCATATGCAAAAAGATTTGAGGCTGTAATTGTTGCCAAAGGTGCATCATCAAAGATTTTTCAGGTTTCGTATTTTTAATAAATTGCAACAATTTCCAAAAATCTTTTTTCACATTGTCATTATGGGGTATTGTGTGTAGAATTTCGAGGAAATAAATGAATTTAATCCATTTTGGAATAAGGTTGTAACATAAAAAAATGGTGAAGCGCTATGAATACCTTCTGGATGCACTGTATATTCTAAATGGAGAACTACAACAACAAAAAAAAAAAGCAATCCTCAAAACTTCAGAACTATACAGAAAAATTTAGTAGGTAGACCATTTAGTGCGCTGTTTATTTTTATTAAAGAATAAAGTACATTACAGAGTAAAAGCCAGGGGGATTATGGTTACATAAAGAGCAGAAAATATTTGAACATGCAGAACTTTGCAAAAATCCAGACAAAATTACATTTTAATAAGCAATCATATAAAAATATTAACGTGTTTACATATATCAATGCATTTTACAGCTTTCTAATTTATCAAATTGAATATAAATTTCAAATACCAGGTAAACCCAGGTATGCTGTCACTACTGAAGTCTCACGCCCACAGAACTTTGGCTGAACATCTGATGCGTTTGGTACTGTTTTCTGGCAATACTTTGAGAATCCTAGCATTTCCAGCAGGAGCGAATTTCGCGCCTGATTTTGTTCCACTGGGAAACAACGTGCAGCTGTACGCAAACGATCTATCCATTATGTGTACTGAAAATGGTTCAACATTGGTTCACGGCATACCCTCTTAAAAAGACGTCCAGGAGTTTTGATTAAGGCAGATAAACAAAGTTAAAAAGAGATGTTTCGACTTGTTAGCTGAATGAATTTGTATGTGGTGACATTCCCACACCGCCAAACATGACGCAATGCGATTGGTGGTTTGACAAGTTGCTGAAACAGACTCATGGGCGGGTCTTAACCATAGAAACCTGCAATAAATGCAAGACCTTCACTGGGACGGTCTGGCTTTGCAAGACTACCGCTGCTTTGATTGGATAGATGATGCAACTAAAACGAGTACAAACCTCATATATATATATATATATATATATATATATATATATATATATATATATATATATATATATATATATATATATATATCGCGGAATCACAATTACGTGCTCCATTGGAAACCAATTTGGATTATGATTAAAGTAGCATGATGGTTTTGGCATCGGTCCAAACCCAGTGTCTTCTTGAGGATATACACTTCTGAATCAGATATACACTTCTGAACTACAGAGTAATTCTCCCGAACAATGTTACAAAATTGCACATTTTAACAAAGCTAAGGTTGGGTGTGCCAGAAAATGTTCTGTTTCATGTGAGAAAAAAAGAAAAGCTGGTCACTGGGCTCAAAAATATGAAATCGTAGCAAAGTAGAGTGGATTTAATATCCTCCCACTGTATGAATTACAAATAACCGGGCCACAAAACAACAGATGTACACATACTATTCACAAACAGCTTGGATATTCAGGTATTACATAAAGAAAATGATGTTTTAAGCATTTCTCTGATTGAATACACCTAATAGCTCTGTGAGAATGATTTAACATGCCTGGCTGCTAATTCAGAAAAGCCTGACGCCATATTAGAGACATGTCATCACTTTTTATGAGGATAATTCATTTGTCGGGTATGAAATGGCCTTTGGATTCAAATGGGAGAGGATGAGAGGCATGGGTTTATGGTGGGCAACTAAAGAGACCTTCTTCTGAAGATTTAAAGATGTAAATTTATCACAAAATATAAGCTAATATAAGAAAGTCTGCATCAGTGTGTGATAGATTTTAAGAACATGGTAATTTTCAGTTACCAGTCTAGCTGTACACAAAGCTATTATTTTCGAAACAGAAACAAAACAATTATATATGTGCAGTTTGATTTATTAAAATAAAAAAAGCGAATCATTTCAGTAAATGTTTCATTTCAGTACATGATGGTACATGGTGTTTAGTAACTAACATTACAATATGATCAAATCCCATTCAACGATGCAGATTAAAAAGCTGAATATAAACATGTATGCTTCACTTCACACATTGTTCAGACAAAGACAATTAGGTGCGAGATAGAGTTCAAGGTTTTGCCCTGGCCTCCAGTTTCCCAGGGTCTAAAACTAGTAGAGCATCACTGGGATTTGCTGGACCAGTGAGTTAAATCCCACTCACATCCTACAGGAATTAAAAGGATCTTCAGTGAACATCCTAGACAAGTCACCTTTAGGGAACTTGTAAATCCTCCAGGAGTTTCTGCTCTCAGAGGACAACAGTTAATATAGAGTGGTCCAGGAAACTTAAGAACCCAGAAGAACAACTTTACATTGAATCCTTCTAAAAATTTTGCTAAAAATGTTAAACGTATCTGCAGATCAAACATGAGGAGACATTGGATCTCGGTTCTAAACTTAAAATCACCTTTTAGAAGCATGTTCAGATGGAAATACTGTGAGAAGTGGTCACTTCTGTCCAGAATGAGTGCGGGAAAGGGTTAAGGTGTATATTCAAGTCTAAAATGACCTCCTTAGATAAAAATCTACATTCTGTTGCATACATTTCTAGCACAAATGCACATAATATAACACTATTAACTCCATAACATGAGGTTAATAATCTAACTCGGATCACAAAATCCTTTACTCAATTGATTAAAATGGAAATAAATACATAGTATTTGGACAATAAGCTCATTGATTTTTAAGGACATCATTGAATGAACAAGTTGCCGACATCTTTCTTTTTCCATTCCTCAAGAATAACCTCTTTGGATGCTGGATGGAAATAATGCTGAATTTATCGCTTCAGAATTCCACCCAGGTGTTTCATTGGGATCAGATCAGAAGACTGACTCAGCCATCCAATCACATTCAC